GGAAAAATAGCTTGCTTATGAAAACAATAGTTTTATCAATAAAACTCACCTCAAGACCTTCGGCACATCATTCTGCCAATCCTAAACTCATGTATCATGAACTAGAGAAAATATCTGAGAACTAGAGCTAGATAGTGAGTTCTTGGACATCCACCCAAAAAGTGCAATCTATAAAAGAGAAAAATGTTAAATTGGCCTTAAATAAAATTGAAACCTTTGGCATTGTAGAAAGACCACGTTAATAGAATAAAAGGCAACCTATAGACAGAGAGAAAATGTTTATAAATCACACATCAGACAGAAGTCTTATATCTAGAATAAAGAGCACTCAAATCTCAGTGTAAAAAAGAAACATATAAATAATCCAATTAGAAATAGAACAGATATTTCACCACAGTAAAAATACGGGTGAAAAATAAGCAAATAAAAAGATATTCAGTATCATTCTTCACTAGCAAAATGAAAACAAAAATTACAGTGAGATATCACTATAAACAGAACAACTAAAATACAAAATAATAATAATACTAAATGTTGGTGAGTATGTAGAGAAATGGACGCTTTTATACATTGCTGGTGGGATTGTAAAATAGTACAGCCATTCTGGAAAATAATTTGGCAGTTTCTTATGAAACTAAACATGCACTAAACCCCAGATGAGCTTTATGCATACGTGCTATGTCATCACACAGAATATTAAAACATAAACTAAATATGACCACGCCATTGTGAATTGGACATCTATCCCAGCAACATTCACATAAAGTCTGATACAACATTCATAGTAACTTTATTCATAATTGCCAAAAACTGGAATCAACCTAGAGATTTTTCAAGGGGTAAATGGTTAAATAAACTATAGTAGTTCATACCATGGAATAATATGACAAAAAAGGAACAAACTGTTAATACATGAAACAACCTGTATGGGTCAATTCCCAAAGGTTACATACAGTTTGATTCCATATATATAACATTTTCAAAATAACAGAACTATAAGAGATGGTTGCTAGGGGACAGAGATTGGGGATGGGAGGGTGTTCGTGCATATAGAGGGTTAGGATGAGAGAATTCTGTGTTGATGGAACAGTCTGAATCTTTATTATGGTGGTGGTTATATGAGATAAAATCAAGAACCACACATATGTACGCATGCACACACACAGAGAAAAGCAGGAAAATGGTGAAAATTGAATAATACCTGTAGTCTACTTAGTGGTATTTGAACAATGTCAATTTCCTGGTATTTATACTGCATTTCAGTTATATAAGATATCTCTACTGGAAAAGGCTATGTGAAGAGTACACAGGGTTCTATAAACTATTTTGGCAACTTCCCATGGATTTATAATAATTTCAAAACAAATACAGGACTATAGTTCAAAAATTGCATTCTTTACTATCACCACCAA